ATAGGTTATGTTCAATACATAATGGAAATGACAGATCTGCCCTTAGTACTTTACATGATAAATAAAGTAAATAAAACTGAAATAAATAATAACTGAATTAACAAACTGACCCAAACTAACACTACTATAACTGAAACAAATAACTACACATGCTGTCCTACGAACACAGTGGGGACCACTGCTGTGGGGCCCACATCAGTGTTCTCTACAGAAGACAATAGGAATTGGCAGGGCCAGGGTTAATCCCTTCAAAATAAAATCTGAAATATCTAGTAGTAAATTTTAAATTTGTCTCACTTCAGCAAAAGAAGATGAGACACTCTAAATTACTTCAATAATGAAGCTTTCTGAAACCTATGGTGCCATCTCTATCTTGTTTTATGCAGTATTACTTCATGGGGGTTATATTATTTAGGGAAAGTGAGGATATGCTCTGCAGGCACTAAAAATGTCCTGCATTGAACAAAAAAGGAAGCTGACCTTCATATTATAGAAGTGGCACAACTGTTGGAAAGGTAACCATCTTTTTATCTAATAACTAGCTTCACCACTCAACAGAAGGCTACAAGAGAGCACTTCCCTTTTTGTTTAGGAAAAGGACTTCCAGTTACACTCTGCTCTTAAGACTTAAGAAGCACAATTTGTAACCAATTTCTACAACCAATGTTTTTTAACTAACACAGGAATGTCCCATGCAAAAAAAGGACTTATAGAAGGTTGAATCTGAGGCTACTTATCAAAAAAAAAAACAAGTTGAATTTGAGGCTTATCTGGAAAATGTGCAATTACAGTTTTGGGGGTCATTTTATTGTCATTTTGCACCTGATTCAGCTTGATTCAGCAAGCAAACAATATGTCTAGAAAGGTTTAAAATGTTGGTGTCAGTTGAAATATTGGTCATCAGAATATAAGAAACATGTTGAAAATGTCGAATGGAAATAATGTAAAATTCATAGACATGGTGAAAGCACTGTTGAAATATGCATAAGTATAGAATGATATTTTATGAAATAACAAAAGAAGCATAGGTACACCCTTTTAAATATTGTCTTGCTCTCAACTATTAAACAAAACTAAGAAACTAAGGTTAGTAGAGAAAATAATATGTTGTGAAGTTGTCCTGTAAACTACATGATAGAGTAAATTGAAGAAAAATTCAAACTCATAGAAAATGCATATGATTCTAATAGATCAGCCAAATAATCTTTTGCACAAATAAAAACTAAGATTTAACTTCATGTTTAAAAGGAATTTTGAGCTTGGCTCGAAGTGGTAATCGTGCCCACTAGGCCACTAGCAGAAAATAATACCTTTATTCCACATATCTACAATTTTATTGCCAAACGTGGCTCACAATATTGATGATATTTAGCAATATATCCCTGAAATATCTCCATTTGCTAGGTGGCAATACAAAATCTTCTAGGAGACTATTTTTCCGACACGTCAGTGATATTTCAGATTTCGTTGATAGACTATATATTTAAAATTAAAATTTTAGAATATTATTAAAAATTTTCAATATTTCATTAAAACCATAATAATTTTTTTAAATATTTTCCTAAAAACTCATAAAAAATATTTTCCTAAAGGAACCAATAGGGAATTGGTGATTAGATAATTGGCTTACTACTTTGATATGATTCACTTATTAAGGGGGTACTCGGTACTATGAATATATCGTGGATGTGACCGTTTTGGTCCCATCCACGATAGAATGGGGTGTTCAGTTTTGTGTGGACCATCACTGTCCACAAAATAGTGTGGACAAGGACAGGCCACACCTCAATTTATCAGCAACAGTATTTTATCGTGGATGCTCCACACCATGGCATGGACAGTTTGTGAGAAGGATTTGGCGTAGTGCACTTGTGTTACACTAGCCCAACCACCCTCATTTTGTTAATCTTTTAACAGATTTTCATTTATTTTTAAATTGTTTACTGCTGAAGATAATATTATAATGATTTTTCTAAACATTGAACCATTTTTAATTATTTTTATCACCATTTTTTTGCTCATGAAATTGGTTTATTACTATTAAATTCATATTATATACATTTTAACTTCTAATAATTGACATAAATGGCAAATATAGTTATTTTATATTTATTGGTAATTATGTATTGGTGTTTTATTTTATCCATTATTATTTCAAATTATTGGCTTAAATTATGGTTTCATCTTCATTCATGATCAACTGTGTTATCTCACAAACTGTATGTGAGATGTATAGAATCAATAGGTGGGGTGTGGACTGGTCCACACAACACTTACAGAACACCCCTGTGGGTGTGGACAGTTTCTGTTAACAGCTCAGAAATACTGTGGACAGTGGTGTGGTGTGGATTGGTCATTGCCACAAGGTGTGGTGTGGACCAGCCCACACCGACCAATTTCTCATCCACAATACAGAACACCCCCTAAGTCACTATAATTCAAAAGAAAAATATAAATGCATATAACTACAAAAAAGTATTATCAGTCTAATCAAAACATATAGCAACAATAGAGGCAAAAGATAAAATGGCAAATAAATGACATATATAAAGAAGAAAAGATGGCTAAAGACCAAAAGGGAGAAAACAAGGAATATACATATTACAGTCTCTTAATTTTTCCTATATAATTTATATAGTTCTTTGCTATTTTTTTTGAGCCTTAAATGTTCAATCGTATTCATTCTAATGATCTCTTGAGGGTTTATTAACTAATTCTATGTTTTTAGAAAACTTTACTGATATTTTAGATTTTCCAAATATCATAGCAAAATTAGTGAAATATCTCCGAAATTTCTCCAACTCTACAATATCAAAATTACAAACCATGTTTCCAATTTCATAGTTCATACTATTCTTCAATCTGGTGGCTTTCTATAGTTAACCAAAAAACAATCCTCGGACCTAAAGATAAAAAATGGTCCTATATCCAAATTAGGGTCATTGCTTAGTGCAATGGTAAAGCCTCAAGCTAACATGCATAAGAATGTGGATTCAAGTCCGAAATGGCCACTTTGTGCCAAAAACAAAAAAGAAAAATAAAAAAGGCAAATATTTCTGTACCCATTCCACTTCTCCCAAGACAGATGATAGCAAGGATCGGTGTTGGATATATACATATGTGTGCATGATATGTATGGGAAGTGGGAACATTATTATACTTACATGCTTCTTTGCTTGTGTGAGTACGAACCCCATTTATAACATAGCAAAAAGAACAACTATTCATTTTGTTAATAATCAATACACCAAATTTGATGATAGGAATGACAGACAAGAAAACTGAACAAAAGTCCCAAATGAATAAAATTGAGCACATAGATGTGGGGTTGTGGGAGATATAAACTATATAATGGGTTCCAAATTGATGAAAGCAAATGAAATAGAAACTAAAAAAGGAATTAATAACAAAAAAATTGAATATATTAAGACACTGAAGTACAAAGAAGATTAAACAGAAGCTTGGTAGTATCAATGTATGCAATACTCTGATCAGTCTTTATAACTTATAAGTACAATTCTGAACAATTTTTTTTTATTTTACAACTGTGAAAAACAAACCTATACAAATAAACTTCGAATTGGTTGATAAATGGATCATTTTCACATGGAACAGAAAATACCTTTTCAGGAAACAATCATGATCTGCCTACGACTAAATGTATATCCTGAGCACAATTATCCAGTGGCGGCTAGTAATGCAAAGGTGACCAATTCAGATTATTACATCACACAAGCACATTAATGCGAGGTTCAAGTGCCTGGCCAAACCATTCATGCTTCAAGCAACTCCCTAGTGGACAAGGAGGAAGCCACCACCATCTATTCTCTGACAAATCATACATGAGAACAAGAGACGACATGCTCCTACAAAAGCAAATCTTGCCGCATCGATCCACGGTGGTAAAATGGTTAAGATTACCATTACCAAACTTATAGAATAAATGATCTGGCATGAAACAAATAGGATGCCATTGCTTTGCCAATCTGTCCAACTCCCAAAACCCTATCTTCTTTAGGACTCCAAGCTCCTCAACACCCCCAACCAAGGTCAACGCCCCTTGATGCACAAAGATATAAGAACAGACCAGTGGAGGCATCACCACATCAACAAGATTCCACCTACCTCTCTCCAACTCAAAGGCTAAAAGCTTATCAGGGGAATGAGTCAAGCAAAACAAGAACCCATCCAAATAAGCAGCATTACCCAACATGGCAAACCTCCCATCAAACTCACCCTTCTCCTCCCAACGCTCAGTTCTTGAATCGTAAACCTGCGAAAACACTCTATCCGCTGTACTAACGGAAACAACCTGATAGGACGAATTCCCTTCAATCACTGCCAAAGCATAAGGCCAAATTGAAGGCAACATCGGGGGCAAAACCCGGTAAGCTCTGGTGAAAATATTTGATACAACAATTGAACCCTTTCGGTCTTCCGCTACAACGAGGCTTCCATCAGAGATGAGGGCTCGGCGGAGCTTACAGCAAGTGCTGGGACAAGAAGATGATATATGCGACAGAGAAATCAAAACCCATTTGTCTTCTGTTGGGTTATAAGCAGCAGCTACGTTTCGATTGACGAAATCAGCAAAAAGAACGAAGTAGAGATCGTTGTGACTCACCAGTCGGTAAGCTGCAATAAAGGGTTGGGATTCGATTAAGGATCTCCATGCTTTGCAAACGGATTTCATCCTCAGCAAGTTTGAAATCGGAAGAAATAATAGAATAGTTTCCCAGATATGGAATGGAAGAACATGCCATGCAAAACCAAACTCAAAATTCTCTCTATCTCCCTCTGGTTTCTTCAGCGAAGACTCGTTTTCCATGGCTATTTCTTGGTGATTTCGAGGGAGTTGGAGCTTGTTAAGAACAATCTGCTGCTCGTCGCTCTCACGGTCTCATCGAAGCCTTAACGTTCACACAACCACCCGTCATATGATGCGATTAGTAGGATGCAACTCGGGCGGATTGGATCGGGCTTAGGCTCAACCCAGGCCCAACCATAAGAATAGGGTCATTAGCCCAGGAGGTCAAATCCGAAGTTGGCAGCTCAGGCCCAGCCCTAGAATCCCGAGCTAAACCCTAACATACTCGGGTTGGGCCTTGGGTTGGATCGGGTTGCTACAAATTTATATTCGTACTCCTTCCAAACGGAGGCAACAACCATCGATCCAAACAAAAGCTAAGAACGACCAGCAAGACACCAACAGCAACGGAACAACAGTAGAGAAGAAGAATAAAAAAATAAACTACCACTACTGGATAAACAGACCTAGCAACTATTGAAGAAAACCAAAAAGGAAAGGAATCCTCCAACCAAAACACCACAGAAAAACCAGTTTAGACTAGTTATGAAGTACCACATTTGCCTTCTAAGGGACCCAACTAAAGCTGATCAAAATGCCCTCGCAAAGCTTCAAGGTATCCCCTTCGATAAAAACAAGGTCCTGATGAAATGAACTAATGACCCATTCAAATGACTCACTGGCCGAATACTATCCAGCTTCACATCTAATTCGGATTTGGTCCTCACAAGAAAAGTCTAGTCAGGCAACAAACCCAAAACAATGCAAATGACTCACTTGAGTTGTGGATGGTGGTGGAGATGGCCTCATAACCTGGTTAGACTAGGGCATGTTTGTTTGCTTGTCTAATCTCTGAAAGTGTAATGATTACATTAAGAGGTATGTTGGTATTGGTGAATTATTTTTTCTTTTGAACTTTAAACTCTGATTTCAGAATTCTAAAAATTGTCAAATATCCATTTTAATTCTACATATGAGAATTTTTGTTTGTTTGTGTAATTTAATAAAGAAACAATATTAAAAATTATTATAATGATTAATTTTTAATAATAATTAATGATAATTATTGGACACTTCGGAACGGTCACAGAGACATGTTAGTTCTGTGCCGATGACAATATCAAAAGAGCCACCCTTACCCCTGGACATCGGCATGGGAGGCTAGAAACCCCTCCCATCATCGACCGCTAGGGCCGCCTCTTTCTCCGCTAACAACTCAGCAGTATCGACTTCCCTAACGAAGTCAACAAAAGGACAATCTAATTTTCCCTAACAAGTAGCCATGACCCATGAGGGGCAAGAAACAGATGAAGAACAAAGAAACAAGAGACAAGGAAAGAAAACTGAAAAGTGTTTTGTGGAACAACCTAGGGCACAAGGAACTCTACGAAGACAATAGCAAGAGGAAAAAGGAGAGCCAATGCGGTTCCCCGAAATGATGCTTAGCGGAAAAGTAACCCAGGTAATTTACATAAACACCCTTTAAAAGGCAGGATAAGACGACGCATTCATTCAAACCTGGTGCCACGTGTGCTACCGTCATTTTAAATACCAGGTAATGAAACAATGCCATATGAGCAGTCAGGCCACATTAATTACCGCTTAACTAACGAAGAGATCACTAATCATGCCCGCCACGTGGGCATCACCCAATGGCCATCCCAACCCCATCGTTAACATAACACGTTAGTAGTTCAAAAACCCCTTCATCGATCGAATGGTCTACGCACCGTCACACAAACAGAACCATCCCACAGTCCCTTTCTCGTTGACGATAGTCAAGGGGGCTTGACATTCCAACAAACATCACTCGGCAAATGACCAAGCAAGTTTAACTTCACAAACCGAACATGAGTGCCACCATTAGTAAAGGGAATTGATTAGAAACAGTTCTTTTTTCCTCCTTCCAATGTCTCTTGCCAATTTTCTTCCTATCAACGATCAAGGGGGCTAAAATACACAGATAGATAATGGCATTGACCATTGATAAGAAGCAAATTACCAAAAGACAGGGGAGCTAAGTTGTGGAATGTAAGAAACTACCACTGCGAACACAAGGCATGCAGGATCTATACAAAGCTACAAAACAAGGAAAATCCCCATACCCAATGCACACAAGCGAACTCACTACAAAACCCGAAAATGAGAGGACAATGTGCTTATTGATAAGCTCTCACTTACCGATAAGCAGGGGGGCTAATATAGGTATATAGTGTTCACTCAGACCTTCAGAGAACATCAAACACTAAATTTATCACCACAAGGGTGCATGTGAGTAACCCACAATCAACCTTCTTGATGTGATGAACCCGTAACACACCACAAGTTCTACGATGAACTCACAAAGCGCATCACAGAACCGCAATAAACCTGTGGTTCATCGAGCCCACTCGGTGCCCAAACCAAAGGAAACCATGGCCAAACCTGCAACAGGGCCCTACACTTGTTCGAACATGAGATAAAACTTACAACCCGTTAAACGGGCAATGAACCCACGGCTTATGACCCTATTCGTGACCCAAACCAAAAGAAACTCGGGCTAAGCCCATGACGAGGCCCGTACGTACCCAAATCCATGAGGAACCTACACCATCAAAAGATGTGGTGGGACACCACATAAGGTTAACAAGATATCACCCACTAGGCAGTGATGTCACTAAATGCCATGTCAATTAAATTAAGCACACAAGAGGTAGTAGCACACGTAAATAATGAGGGATCTTGAGGGCAAGGAAAGCCGATCCTCAGAAAGATCCTCATGAGACACGTGGCGAAACCCCTGTGGTGCACTTAATGATTGATAGCAAATCCAATATTCCCTTTCCCTATAGGAGACAAGCACCTTATCTCCTACCTTTTAGGATCTTGGGATCTCCCCCATAAATAGATATCCTCTCTGTATTGGAATTCATTCGGCATTCAACATTCAGCATCTAGCACTTGAACACCCTTTGGCTTCTACTCCTGGCACCCTTAACCCGAAAGCCAATCTCCCTACTTCCTAGCCTTTCTCTAACTTTCAAAGAGACCATTCCCCATCCAAGCCTTACCCTACCTACACCTATGGTGCATCGCAAGTCTACGATGAACCTATGGTGCATCGCAGGTCTGCAATGAACCCATTCCCAGCTCAAGCTCAAAGCAAATACAAGTTGAGCCCGCAAAGGGATTGACACGTATCCGACCACGTGATAAATCCTGGGTCGTTATGGAGCCGTGGTTCACTAAAATCGGAACTGAGTATTGGTTGCACGCGTGACCAGGAGTCACGTAGGCTTAATAAAACACCATTCGTTAGGCGATGACATCACTAATGCCACGTCAGTTAAATCAGAAGCAAAAGGTAATAATACACGTGAGTTATGGGGATCTTTAGGAGAAATGAAAGTTAACCTTCAAAAGATCTCATAAGAACACGTGGCGAAACCTAAGCAATGCTTCTTAATGATCAATAACGAATCTAATACTCTCCTTCCTAGTAAAAAAATAAATGCTTTTGGCTACTTCCTTTCAGAATCTCAGGATCCTTCCCTTTAAATAGGGATTCCTCTCATGATGAAAATGAGGCATTCAGTCCCCAATCAACCCCATCACCAAACTTCCTCAACCATCTTTCTACTCCTCTTACCCTAACCTCTGAGTCGAGTCCCTACTCCCGGCCCTCCTTTGTCCTTCAGGGAGACCACTCCCTAGCCTAACCACTCCCTACTTTCAAAGAATACATGCTTTCATTTAATGTAGGCTAGGTGTGTCTCACTTAAACATAATTACTCTCATATGAGTTGAAGTTGAAAGCTCTTATACCCTTAAATTTTGAAGCTTTTCCTTGTTACCATTTCTGCATTTCATGTTCTTGTGCATTGTCTAATAATTGAATACTCCCTTGTGTATCATAGTTTGAGAAGATGTTTTGACCATTCTAGTGCATTCTCAAATTATATTGTGGCTTTACCATCGCATCATATCCTTTAATTGATTATATAATTTGGATCTTCTGAACTTTTTTGTTCAAACCATTGTCTCATTTTTTTAAAATCCCTTCGAGTGTTTTTGTCACATTCTGGTGTTCTCAAAGGATCCCCAAACAATTAACTTGGTTAAATATTTTCGATTAAAGTAATTGAATCCCAACATCATTGATGATATTCATGTTAATTTTCTGTTAGCCATGTCAGCCTATATGCTTTGACCTGTGTTAGTTTTCCATTGGTTACGTCAGACTTTATGCTTTAACCCACGCTAGTTTTCCATTGGTCATGTTGGCCCCTACGCCTTAACTCACGTCTGTATTCTATTAATCATGTTGACATCTAGGCATGCCAAGCTCTATGCCTAAATCCACATCTATATTCTGCTGGTCATTTCAGCCTCTATGCTTTAACCCGCGTTACTTTTTCATTGGTCATACTAGCCTATATGCTTTGACCCACATTTGTATTTCTATAGGACATGTTAGCATCTATGCCTTGACCCACATTAATATTTCCCATTGGTCATTCAGCCTGTATGCCTTAACTCCCGTTTATATTCTGCTAGTTATGACAGCATCTATGTTTTGGTTCGTGCCAGTTTTCCATTGGTCATGTTAGCATCTATGCTTTGACTCATGTTTGTATTTCCGTAGGACATGTCAGTTTCTATGCTTTGACCCATGTCGGTATTTCATTGATCATGTTAGCTTCTATGCTTGACCATAATAATATTTCATTGATCATGTCAGCCTCTATGCTTTGACTAGCGTCTATATTCCAATGGTCTTATTAGCCTTTATGTTTTGACCTGTTTCTGTATTCTACTGGTTATGTCAACCTCTACACTTTGACCCACGTCAGTATTCTGTTGGTCATGTCAACCTTTATGCTTTGACCCATGTCAGTATTCCATTGGTCATGTAAGACTTTATGCTTTGACTCCCATCTATATTCTACTTGTCATGTAAACCTTTGTGCTTTGACTCGTGTTTGTATTCCTTGGTCATGTTAGCTTTTACAATTTGACCTGTATCAGTATTTCGTTGGTCA